AAATGCCATGCCTCGATTGCCTGATCAGGGCACAGGCCAGGAAAATCTGCAGGACTGGGACCTGCCTCTGACCAGGACAGTTACCAGCCAGCCCCGGGCTGCATAGGGAAGTCTGCATGTGCAACCTGGAGTTGCCTGGGGGTCACCTGAAATGAGACAGTTGCCATCCACCTTCTGGCTGCATGTGCAGACTTCTCTGTGCAGCCTGGGGCTGGTCAGGAATTGTCCTGGTCAGGAGGAGGTCCTAGCCAGCTCCAGGCTGGGTGGGGCACTCTCCCCATGCAGGGAGCTCCCAGCCCCATGCAGGGAGCTCCCAACCCCTTGATTCTGTGAATGCAACCATGGATCTGAGGCTGGGAATAAGCTCCTAGTTTCCTGTTTTGCAATTGCGGAGCTGGGAGTGGGAACAATCTCCCAGCCCCTGCTCTGCAACTGTGGGGCTATGCGATTATGAAGCAGGGGCTAGAAGCTCTCTGCTGCTGGGGCAGGGGGACATTGTCCCCACCTGGGCTCTGGTGGCAGAATCCACCCTGGCAGTAGGCAGCTTCTGGGGGCAGGGAGCAATCTCCTACCCTATGGTGCACAGCTGACTGGGAGCAAATTTGCTCCCGATCATCAGTCTACACATGCCATAATGCACAGTAATTACTTGGCATTTAATTTTCTACTTGCATTTGAAGGTAGCAAATTAACTGCTGAGAAGAGCAAATTACTGTACAGTAAGGGTCAGCATATGTAGACAGTGATGCTTACTATTCAGTAATTAACTCTACTGAGTAGTAACATGTCCCATGTAGATACACCCTATGTAACTTTTATTCAAAAGAATCTGAATAATTGAAAAATTCTGTGATTTCATCCTGAAAAAGTTGAAAAACTTTGTTTCAACTTTCAAGGAGTATTTTTGAGTGGGGGGGGTAGGGGGTTGACTACACAGTTCACTGAAATAGCACAAAATTACAACGTTTCAGTCAAATCATATCTACATTTTTGAGTGAAAAACTTCCTCCAAAAGGCAGCTGAACAATTTCACCTGCCTCTACCTTTTTCATGCCATTTATTATTTTATCAACTTTTCTTATGTGTTCTCTCTCTCATCTCCTTTTTAAGATAAGCCATACTGATTTTTTCAATCTCTTTACATATAAGAGTTTTTCCTGCAAACTTTCATCACCCTTCTCTGAACTCACTCTTGTTCTGTGGTATCCTTTTTGAAATGGGGGAAGAGTACTGCCTGTTTATCTTTTCTAAATGCAACTGCAGATAGAACGAAAGTCATTACTGGCCACCCCACAGTGGTGGTCAAATCCCTTCTTTGATTTGCTACAGTTGATTTTGAACACTGAAGATGTATGCATAGTTCACATTTTCCCCTCCAGCTTGGTATTATGTTGCCCATTCACTTTGCTTCTTTAGGCCTCTGTGAAGCTCCTCATTGTCTGGACTTGATTAATCTTCCTAACTAGGCCATCTGTAGATTCCCGCTACCTCACTGCTCAGCCTTCCTTCCAGATCATTAACAAAATGTATTACGCCACCTTCATCCTGGTCCTGACAAAGCCTCTATGCCTCAGTTCTCTACCTTCTTCTCACCCATCTTGACTATTTAAATAACACATTTTTCAGGACAAGGACTGTCTCTAGCTGTGTCTGTACATCACCTCTTGCACCAGGGCCTCTGTGAAAGACTCTTGTTGCTATTGTCACATAAGGCATAATAAAAGCAACTGGCAATAAATGACGTTCCATTGGACTACCCCTCCCATGTTGTTCTAGGACCATATTACAAACTGGAGTTGTGATTCTGCCCTATGTACCTATCACAATATTTTGCAGACATGTGGCTAAATAAGATAAATCAATGTGCTGGATAAGAAGTGAAAGACATAAGCCTTAAAACCAGCTTTGTATCTCTAAACATCCCAATTAAAGAAACAGAACCGAGAAGAAATGACTGGTAGGTTAACATAGCCACACTGCTAGATTTTTATCATTATTTTTTTGAAAACTCATTTTCAGTGTTAAATAAACTGTGGAAAAAGGATTTGATTCATGGCTGCATTAGGAATCTACTCAACCAAAGCCCCTTGTCACAAATTAAATCATAAACCAAAAGTCAAACATGATTTGTGAAATTAACATTTATTGAGGAAATGCTCCCCAGCACCATGCTGTGATTAGTCTCTAGCATCCAAAATATCACCCATAATTCATAAACTGCCTAAGAAACTATGCCACTGCTGCTGTTGTCAAGATATCAGGTTTGATGGAAAGGTGCTGCAGCAAACAGAGAGCTGTTTGTTGCTGATGGTGGAGGTCACTAAGATTTGGTATCTGTGAAAATACACATGCACACGCGCGCGCGCGCGCACACACACACACACACACACACACAGAGATGTGTACCATTTCTCCTCTCCTCTATTCTGCCCTCCTCCCCACCCTGCACAGGCACTTTTTCTTTGCTTAAGTTTATCCAGGGTCATACCCATTTCTATTTCTGAATGAAACAATCTGGCACAAAATTTGCATTGTGCCATTTCGTTAATATTATGACTAAGACAAACTCCTAATGAATGATCACTTTTGTCACAAGAGACTTCCAACAGCGGGACTCAGCACCTCTTGGAGGGAGGCAAAAGAAGCCCTATGTTATGGATTATGGGACTACGGTACAGAGCGGGGGGAATGACTTTTGCAAGGTAAGACAGTGGTAGAGCTAGTAATAAAATCCAGGATTCATGGACAAGATTTTCAGTCCAGACTGAGAGATATAGGATTCTTCCAATATTCAAGTGTCCAACTGGAGACACCATAGCAGATCCTCAACAACACTAGTCTCTTTTGACTCTTGAGCCAAGAATGCCCTTGCTCTAACCACAAACAATTCTTCCTTCCACACAGAAAAAGAACTCTAGAGCCCAGGAGGGGAACAAAACCTAACCTGTGTCACTCACTGTCTGTACTTATGCATGGTAATGGGTTGCTGAAGGCTTAAGTGCTTATAAGTGAGCGAAGTAAGATGCACAACTGTCTATGCAGTGAATATTTGGATCCTTTAACCCCATATCTTCTTGGATCATTCTACCTGGCCTTCGTTCTCGATGCATGTATACTTAGACTGCATTATCTAAATACATCCAGCCTATCAATGGGAAGGAAGGAAGGACTTTAACTTTTTAACGACTTTATTCAGGGGTTTAGGGTACAAAAAGTTGACCCCGCTGGGGTCCAGGTCCAATATACAAAGCAAAGACAGACAAATTACCATTAAACCAAGAGCACCATGTCACTACATTCATAACATCACACCGTGACAGACACCTTCGTTGAATTACACATCATGCCTAACATGCCTTTATGCCATCGGGACACCAGCCACACGGTTGTACAGACCAAAGCCATCTATAAACAAACAATTCCTACCCTGCTCTATCCAAACATACATGTGACAACACCTTCAACTTCCCACACAAAGAAAAAAAGCAAAAAACAGCCTGGTGAGCACCCAGGGCACGGCACAAGCTGGGAGTTGCAGTCCACCACCAAGCCTAGGAAGGAAGGAAAAATGGATCTCCAGTATCCCACAAAGAGACCTGATGCCAATCTCCACTGAAGTCACTAAGAGTTTTCCCATTGCCTTCAGTAGGCAACAAGACCAAATCCCTGCTCATCATCAATACTTCCTCAAAATTAAACCAGAATGTCTTGTCTACAGAGACGTTCCTATTTGCCACTTCACCTCCTGTCACTACTACCTCCATGCAAAAAATGCTGTGTTGTCAGGACACGAGGGGCTCTGCTCAGCTGCAGTGAACTGGAAATCAATGGATCCATGACTATGTACACCAGCTGTGGATCTGGCCCATAGCCCATGACTCAAAATGCATCTGAGATAGTCTCCACCCAGCACCTAAGACGGCTGCCCCTGACAGCCACAGGTCACCACTGAAAGCACGCTCTGCCCCAGAGGAAGATTTGGAGTCCAGAAGAAATTACTGCCTGCTCTGTTAAGCTAACCCTTGAACTCCAAAGCCTCACTTCTTGAAATAAGAATTCATTGCTCCAGTAACAAGATTGGTCGTATAGTCCATGTGGAATTATTACCTACATTCAACACACTTTCCTTGGTTCAGCAATTACACCCTTCTTATGCTGAGACAATAAAGGGTCAGCACTGGACAGTGGTTTTTAAAAACAGTTTTAAATTTTCTTTAAATGTTCTCTGCTGCTTACAGCAGTCTGTTAAACCTCTGAAAATAACATTTCATCCCTTACTGGGTTTGCCCTTTTCCATTTGGAAACCATTGATTTTTTTTTTGTCACTTGAGCCAAGATTAATGTGGCTTTTTTTTCCTTTGAAAACAAACTCAACATATCCAGGACCTGTCCAGCCAAAATAACAGTATCTGTGGATCTGTACCACTGACTGGTGTTGACCATACTCTGGGAATTAGGCTAGCTAGATGCCAGGTACTAGAGAACCTGCAATGATATATATAAGACATCTCAGTCTTTTTGTAGGCTCTATAAAAACAACAATAGTAACTGGTCTTAAAAAGAGTGTATGGTGAAAGGGCTGACAGTTTAGTTTAGGTTTTAGAATACAAAGGACTTCACCCAACAGAACAAAATTACTTTGGTCTGGGCCACTTGTGGAGTCTACAAACTTGGACTGGCCCCCTCTGAATCTGCTACTGATTGTCCCTTTTGTTAGCAATAGGGAAGGAAAAACAAAATAGAGAAGAAAAGTAGGAATAAGAAAAATAATATAGATACCATATTCTCCTTAGCTAGGCTTTGACAGCAGGTCTTGGGGGGACAGAAAGTTAAGACTGACTTCAGACACTACTTGCATTCTCTCTACATTGTCACCTAATTTCAACGTGTCCCCCCCACTTCCCCTTCTCCACCCTATACAGATATCCCCCACCACATCCCCTCCTTCCCAGTTTCTTTCCTCCCTGTCCTCCCACCCAGGAAAAGCCAATAATACCTACAAATATTTTTTATTTTCATAAACGTCATGCAGCTTTAAAACGTGAGGATGTTCTATCAACTTCAGGATGGCTATTTCCCGCTCCACCTGGAAAAGAAGAGAGAAATAAGGAAGGTTAGAAGCCATGCCTTAGTTTGCATTAGACATCATCACATATTCTACCTTTCTGATCTTCTCCTTTATGTACAATGGAGCAAACAGGACAGAAGCAGTTTTAAGACTTAAAAATGCTTCGCATTATACAGGACTGTGCCATATATTAAGTAATTCATCCTCAGAATCTCCTACCTTATAAAAGTAGGTAAATGATAATATTGTCCCTCTATCACACAGAGGCAGAGGGATAAGTGTTCAGTCTAACAGAGGGAATCAATCATAGAATGTATCTGATCACAGCCAGATGCTCACATAATGCCTCTCAAACTATAGAAGGTCAAAACCATAATCTAGACTCCCACTGATTTCAGGACGCACTGGCCTCACCATGTTTGACACAGTACATTCACAGTGTAAGAGAGTTTATAATCTAACCAGGAAGGAAAATGGTAGGAGACAGGAGCTATTATTGGTTTACAGTTGCTAAATGGAGACACAGACAGATTACGCGACACACACAACACATAAGAGTTCAATAACAGAGCCAGGAATTGAACCCAGCTTTCTGGAAACCCAGTCTTATGCTGGGTTAAAAAATTCAAGACCCAGACTATCCTTCCTCTCAAACCTTGTCCAAAATATGGTTACTTGTAAGGGCTTATCTTCAAAGCAGAGTTAACCTGAACTATAATTTGGGTGTTGCTCTTGACCTGAATCCTAGCTGCACACAAGAACCTTAACTCCAGAATGGCAGTGCTTTTAATTCAAGCTCCTTGGCCTGTTAGGCTATAGCAGAAATTAGTGAAACTCATCACACACTAATATAGTATCTTTGCATCTTGAGTGCTGTTTTACAATGCAGCCTCTTTCATGTGGTCTAAGCAAACAAAAGAAAAGTTATATAAACTGCTGGTGAGTGCAGTTGATTGGCAGTAACTATGCAGTGAAAACACAGCCCCAAGCTCTGCAAACTCAGGTAGGTAGGTCCCAGATCAGTTTACAGAAATCCAACAAGGCAGGATTACCCCCTCATCCCAGAGCAGCAAGGAGACGAGCTCACTTGAATGTTCCCCTCAACTCCAAATAATTGCCTACCTTCCAGCTACCATCCTTGCAATCACAACATTAGCACATTGCAATGCTAAGTCAGAGCCTAAACCCACTAGTACGTAGGCAGTCCTTCAGGAGATTTTTCCAGTACAGCTTTATTTCTTGGTGTTCTTTAATTTGTGGAGGTACTTTCCTCTACCAGACCTATAGCATATAATAGCTGCCTCGAAAAGACTGTCTCCCAGAACACTCACTGCCACAGGAAGGGCCTCAGGTCTTCTTGCTCAGTGAGTGAAACCGGTGAAAGCTGCTTTAACCTCATAATACCTTGGGCTTCCTCTTCCACTCAGGTTGGAAGAAAGGACGTACAGCTACACAGTCTTGTTCTTATTTTTTCAAGTTGCTACTGTCAATGTTTTATTTTTTCAAGTGGTTTGTTCTCTGCAGACTGAGAAGCAATCTCACAGATTTACTTTCCCACCTGTTGTCTCAGGAGGTATTGATTTCATAGCTGGGTTGGGGGAAACGCATCAGGAGGTGGGACAGGTAGATGGAGAAGGTGTGGTGAAATCAATGGCATTCTATTAGAAAGGACTGTGTGTATAAGCATACACCTACAGGTTTCCCTCGCTTGATGCTGTACAAGCATTCCCGGCAAATGGCGCATAACTCAAATTCCCATAAGGGGAACCCACTTTACAATGTAACAAATAGGGATATGTTCCAAGGCCTCGACTGTACTGACTCCCAGACCCATTTCTACCACTTTTACAAGACAATTTTGGTACTCACCAACAGCAGACAGTACACACAAGCACAGGGTGGTGGTGAATGCTACCATAACGGGGACGGCAACTACAGACACACGTGTTGCAGACAACAAGTGAGAAGCACAGATCCACACAGGAGGTTATAATTGGTGTGCGTCACTCCTATAAAGTACTGCACAAAGCAGCTGACTGCGGGCTTCCACCACACCAATCGCATAAGAGTGAATTTACCTTGCATATAACCAATTTTTGGTATAAAAAGGGTCATTGCATAAGAGTGAATTCACACATACAGAACCCGCATAAAGCGAGGGAAGCCTGTACTGCTGTAATTCCCATAGGAGTCTCCTATGAATGAGATATGCATTGCCTGATGGTGATAACTGTGAGGGCAACATCTACCTATCACCACCACTAAATAGGGCGCAATTCATGCAGCACTGTGCAGCTTTCATCCTCCCAATGACTCCATAAAAATGGGATTTACTGCACCTCACCACGTTGCTCCTTTCCCTCAAAAGACCCCATTGCCCTTTGTCTCACAAGAGAGTTGGCAGTATTCAAAGGGTTCTGTTCAAGTGCTTGCCCTGATAAGGTTGTGTTTGCTGCATAGGAACAAAAAAATAATAAAAAATAAAAAATAAAACTTAAGACTCATTTGTATTCAGGAAAATTTCCCCGGAATCAATTCCCCCTTCTGTCTCTGAGCCAGCACTTTGGAGAAGGGAACTGCCCAAGTGCAGTGCAGCTTGCCAAAATGATAGTGACAGGCCACTATCAGGATGCAAAACTCTTTTAATGCTCCGTGGTAGCTCAGTCTATTTGCATTCATTCCCCCACTCTCCAAGGTCAGGTCAGATTGGGGAGGGAAGGGAAGACTGGGTGGGGGCTGTTATGTCTTGGTCAGTAACCAAACCAAGCTAGGCTATATGATGACTGACTGATGAACTTAAGCATATGTCCATCTGTCCATGACAGTCCATCACTAATGTCACTATTCTGTATTTTATTTAGGGATATGGGCAGAGCAAGCATGGGATTTTTCTCTTGGTGAACACCCTTGAATCACTATGGTATATGAATAGCAATAGTCCCGACCAATCACATAGCAAGCATGTGTCCTGACTCTTTTGCCACAGCAGGATGGGGGTCAGAATACCACTGATGTAAAATACATCTGTCAGGTGCCAGGGCTCTCCCAGAGGGCAGCCTTGTGTCCATTTGCTTGAATGATGAAGGCATTTGTCTGCACTACTGAACTGAGAGGGTTCAGAATTGGGATCTGGCACAAACGCATGTTTAACGATCAATGGAGAGAATGGGGGCCAAAGGCATCCACAACATGTGTACTTAGCTGTCCAGAAGAGAGACAGTCACGCAGAAGAAAGAAGCATCACAACCTGATGAAACATTAAGGGAAGGAGAGGGGAAGGAAAGCTCAGTCGCATGAGATCTGTGACATCTCATATACCTTCAGAAGACTAAGCCAAATCATGGGACAATCTTTAGGATGAAAATAACTGTGCCACAGACTTGCCAAGTCATGCAGAGCTCACAGCCAGGTGCTGTGCACACAAACTCAGCCTGAGTTTTCAGTGCATTCTGACCTCAGACCCCAGCACTGGGGGAATGAGCTCACCTAACCTTTTTGGTGTAAGCCTATATCCCAAATGCCAGCACCGCATGTACCAGCATAATAACCTTTCAGTACATGCACTTCTCACAGTTCAGTTCCCTGCACTATGCACAGAAAAGCTCCTCAACCTTTCAAGATATTCCCAGGGCTCAGACACCAGCACTGGGCATATGAGCTCCTCAACGCTGAAAGAGTGACACCAAAGGAAAGGTGTGTAGGAGGGTGGTGAGGGAGATGAAATTTTTCTTGGGAAGTGTGATCACTTTACCAGCTATGGAGCTAAACAGCTGACTTCAGATCTCTTCACCCTTAGTTCTCAGCCCTTCCTCTGGGCTTGCCTGCCTGCAAAATTGGCAGATGAAGAAGCCCTGGTGGAGATTCATCAAAAAGCCTGTTGGCGGTGGCACTGATAACATGTCTGGCATGAGTGAATGATGGATGGCAGCCTCTATCTAGGGTTCTGTTTGGTTACTGTCCTAACAAGAGAAAGGAGGCAGCACAAAGGGGGAGAGATTTATGACAAAGCCACTTGGAAGAAAGAATTCCATTATGATACTAGCTGGTCGTCTTTAAACATGAGAAAAGACATTAAATGAATCAAACATCCACTTTTTATTCCGTCTTGTGTCAGGAACAATATCCTTTCACTTAGCTTGGGGCGTTCTGGCTTCAGCAGTTTGGGTGCACATCTCTAGAGGGTCCTACATTTATTTTTTCAAACACAGACATGTGAACCTGCTGGTATCTGAATCCTGAGGGGATTTCAACGATCCTGATTCCATGTCTATGGAGAGTATCGGGCTTGATGCACTGCAGGGTACGTCACAACCACAAATTTTCTCCAAGTCTAGATCGCACCTCTAGGAGGTACCCAGCAGTCCATTTTATAAGAACATATTGAAATGTCACTGGATCAGTGGAAGTGACTAGTTTTCTTAGGAGCCACAAACTTGCTTTATGACTGTCTTCTAGTTATAGGGTCTTGTAGCAGGGCACTAAAGTGCCTGTTACTGGAGGCAGTGTGATGAGCTCAGCTGCCAATCACCAGGGCAGCACAGGTGTGGGGTTACCGTGACAACCGGTCTGGTCAGCTGACCAGAAGGGGGCAGGGCCTGGCCTTTATAAACAACATAGGCCAAGACCAGAGCCCAGTCCCTGTCTGGCTGCCAAGGAGAATGGAGCTTGAGAAAACCTTGATGGGGCAATGCATGGAAGTAAGCCAGGTTGGCTAGGAATTTATGTTATAGGCCAGGGGTTTTGTGCTTATGGTTTTAGCTGTTGTGGCGCGAGAAGCGCGGTGTTACGCCAGAGGTTTGGGCGAGGCTGTAGGGGTGGAGGAGGCCTCAACAGGAGCCCCCCAGTAAGGTGGGGGTGCTCTGAGTGCCAGGGAGGGTGCTGTAGTGGGTGCGAGAAGCGCGGATAGGAGCCCAGTGCGGGCTATGCGGGCATGGGGAAGAGACCCTGGTGCGGGCTATGCGAGCACAAGGAAGAGGCCTAGTGGGCGAGGGCACGAGAAGCATGAGTGCGAGAAGTAG